ATTATGAAAATATAGAAGCTGACGACGATTGTGACAATGAAAATATTGATAAAAATTATGCCGATAATGATAAAAACAAATTAATGAATATACCGATATCAGGTCTATTTTCGCTGTTTTTGCATATTAAATTGACAGAATTCGTCTATGTGTAAAATCTTCTATTTTACAATTTACATGAAATTTACAATATCATGTCACTCTTTTAATCAGGATTCTCAATGCGGTGAATCGAATCAGCAATAAAACATGTCAGCATTAAAGTTTAGATGAATAGGGATACTATCTAAAAACAATCAAGTTATAATGACACTTCTCTTATATTTCCCAACCTTAGTTCTACAAGATAGAGCACTATAAATTTTTTAAAAACATCACAATATATATATCTGAATGGACATCATTATATATATATATATATTTTTTGAATATTAATGGTGAGACCATGTCTCTATCTTTATTGTTATATATTTTTTTATTATAAATAAAAATATATGTCTTTACAAATTTTTGTTATCATTATTATAATTTTGAATAATTCTATTGTTAAATGAAACAAATACCCAACAACATAAAAATACCAATTACACCGCTAGCGAACATTAAATGTAAACCAATACCATTTATGACGTGTGAATTAGATGACGACGTCGTTGTACTACCCGAAGGTTTAGGTGCATTCGAAGTGGTTGACACAGAAGTTTTCTGTGGTGAGGCTGTTGTTGGTTGTGTAGGTTCTGATGTAGTATTTGTATTTGTAGCTTGTTGATTCGTTGCTTTATTATGCGGCAGCATAGCTTCTGCTGGATTGGGTGGTGCTTTCATCTGATTTTCTCCACCAGGCGTAGAAAGTTGGGGTGCATTTTTTGATGCTCCACCGAGTTTATTGCTGGGAAACGAATGAGGAAAAGATCCAAAACTTGGCATTTGTGCACTAACAAAGCACACAATGTAGAGAAGCGACATTAAGACAAAAAGGTATTTTTGATTATCCATCACTGCGTTTTTCGTTAAGTTTGAACTTTAAAAACGGAATATCTTTGAGAGCAAATAATTCGTGTTGACGAATGTTACTTATAGGTTTTAAATAAGGTACTAGGGCACTAAATTATAACAAAAATCAATCAAAATGATTAAAAAAAATCAGAGATTGTAAAATTATCATGACGATGAATTTATATCATTGTTTAGTCTATTAAAAATCTTGGTAAAAATGATTGATGAAAATAACTGAAAATTTATTTTGTCGGAATATTACAACCATTATGTAAATTCTCAATGTCTTGCATTATGATAAATCGAACAAGTCAATATTGATATTTGGACAAACTTTTCTATTATTGTCACGTTTCTAAGAAATCGTATTTTACTAATTATGATTCAGGACTACACACATCAAAGGAAATTCCCAAAACATTGGCTATACATAATAACATTATGGGGCAATTAAAACTATTCATCATATATCGATATCGATTTTAAAAAAAGTTTATTAAAACTGATAGATTTGCCATTTCAGATATTTTTACTAATACCCTGTGATCCTGATTTAGTGATCTGTATATTTAAAATCTTATAAATAACTTACTTTTATGAATAAGTAAACAATTATAAACTTTTTATTACACGGCTTCTAATTGTTCACCCATGACTTTTTTTTACTGATATTTTCACAGCGAACTTTCTTTTTTGTCGTTTTTTTTAGATTGTATTATGGTTTTTCGTAAATTATCTTTAAAAATTATAACCAAGAAAGGAATCTTAAAAGAAAGAAATTTTATTTTGCGTGAAGAAAAGCCGTGAAAGTCTTGTGGAAAATAATAGTTATAAAGTCGGGTGTTAGGACCCGTGTAATAAATCAGTTATTACACGTATTTGTCGTCGACATCATGAAACATCCCGAATCAGTCTCGATATCATGCATCATTGTGGCTATGCCACAATACTGCATAATATCTCGACTGATCCGTGATGTTTAACGATATCTATGATATAACTATTACTTATACGATAAACGGTAATTTCATATCATTAATAATTCATAACTCTCACTATGAGAAAAATCATTTGTTGTGAGTCGCGTTATTTTCGAGTACGCCCATGTGCGTTATCCGGAGTAAAAGGTCAATTTCCAAGTTTATTACTATATTATAATACACTGATATATTACATGACGACATGGAATATCGATATCAGATTTTTTTAAAGCTAAGTCCAATAGGTTATCAATTCCGAATATATAAAAAATTAAAACGCAAAGTTACTTATAACCCTAAGTATCATTTTTTTCTCGCGGTATACTGTAATACCGTTTGCCATTGCATACAGTATCCCCGAAAATAATATTCGACTCCCCTCCAATGAGATTGTTAGATTCGTGAATACTATTCAATTTTTTATATTGATTTACAAAATTATATATAAACTCGTACCGAAATAGACATGAAGAAAAATCTCAGCTCCCGAGCTTCGTTATATCGAGGTTATACTGTGCATTAAAGAACTATTTATATATCAGCATATACGTTGTGAGAACGGAATTTAGTGAACAAATTTACTCTAAAATCCTAATTTAATCAAGAAACCTCAAATCCACTTAAATTTCCACTTATAACATATATATAGAGATTGAATAGCCTAATAAAAGGCGCAAGCAATATGCTATGTAATTAAAATATTTCCCGTCGCGACTGATGCTGGAAATTTTAATGAGATTTTCAAAATTTTTGGGGTGCATTTTTTTTATAATTAGTTTAGGGTTTAGGTTAGTTTGATATTGAAAGAGTACAGAATAAGTGGATTTGGGTAAGTTCATATTTTTAAATCGGGGTTTCTAATCCGCGACATTTGCTTATAATGAAAGAAATTGACGTGTATTTGTAATAATAATATCTTGGGTCGTTGGGTATTAGTGGATTGGTCCCAGGCAGTCATGTATTTCCGTTATCAATGCCTGAGACTAGAGACTGGACTCGAACCAACTCGTAACTTAAAAAACATAGTCTTAACTCGAATTAACTCGAGTCAAGACTATGTTATTTAAGCTACGAGTTGACTCGAGTCCAGACTATGTTATTTAAGCTACGAGTCAGTCTCTACCTGAGACCAATTCACTATTACACAGTGACCCAAGATATTATTAATTAATACCCTGACCTCTCACATGATAAATATGTCGTTAGTTCGTACGCATGTCAAATTAATCAATAATTAGCTCGTATGTAATTAAACTTTTGTCAAATTAATTAATAATTCAAATATCTTTTCATAATTAACTTTATCGCCTGCATTATGGTCATTATTCTGTAAATATAAAAATTTTATAAATATATGTAAATAGTATTATACTACTAGCTTCGCAATATTAATTCATTCTGTGTGCGATACATATTATACTGTATGCCTCTATTGTACAAAGCTTCGTAATATTCATAGCAGCTTGGATATCCACACTAGAGTCATTTAGTTTTTGAGCCGTATGTTTGCGAAGGGAGTGGTTAACGATTCTCCTTTTTTTGCAATTAATACCTGTAATAGAACAGATTTCCTTCATAAAGCCAGATAATTTCTTACGACCTAAATGATGGTTCGAGTACCGAATATCATCGATTAGCCCACGTTCTAGTAGTATTTTGGGGTTTTTTTTTGTATAATTGAAGCCTTTCTTGTGATGGTTTTTCAAATTTTTTACGAGCTTTGGATGAATTGCCATACGTAGAATAAAAATCAGTGGCTTTTAGAAAAGAACGTTTATTTTGTT